AGTACTGCAACTCCTTGGGAACAGCACATTATTGGCTAGAGATAGAGACAACTAATACATGTACAGTATAACAAAGTTAAAAAAGGCAAGTTGAATTTGCTTGGTCATTTTCTTTTTTACATTTTGGCACAATTGAATATATATTTCAACATTTATTTATTTTTCTTGTAAAAGTGTTTATTGCAAAGGCTTTATTTTTCACAACATTTAAGACCTGAAGAATTAAGTATTTTGGTCACTCTTTTAGGTTTTTTGTCTTTCTTTTTTTCTTTCGTTTTGGAACACTTGTCACACCTGATGTGTTCAACGATCGTACAACATTTTAAAGACCTGTAGTTTCTGGCTATGATAAATTATGTCATTTCTACCTTTCTCTTTAATGAAAGCATGCCCTTCTCATGGTGGTTGTGGAGTTAAGACGGTTGCCGGCTGTTGAAGTAAAAACCTTTTTGGTTCATTCAGGTTTACTATGGACTGCTGAAGGAACCAGAAATTGAGCTTCCCCTTGATGATGAGGATGAGGAGGCAGAGAATGAGGAGGGCAAACCCAAGAAGAAGAAACCCAAAAAGGACAGCATGGGCTCCAAGAGCAAGAAGCAGGATCCTAACGCACCTGCACAGACCAGGTAGAGGTTTCTGACACACAGGAGAGCATTTTGTGCTCATAATTACATTTAAAATTAATTTATCAAGCCTCAGTACAAGGTTGATAGTGTTGTCCTTGCTAAACATCCAAGCTTCCCATTCTCAAGGTTTAAGGTCCAATGTTCTTTATTTAGTCATATGAACATAGCTACAGTTTAGTTATGCCGATGAAAATCGTGTGTCACAGGCTTCTCCAACAGAGCAACACAAAACACAAATAAAGAGAAAAATATAGTGCAAGTAAATAGTAATACAAAAAGAAAAATAGTTTTAAAAAGTGAAATATTGCAATAAGAGTCTATATGCAAGTTATTGAAATAGGATATATAGATAAATAAGTTTAAAATAATTGTAAAGCAGCAGCCAGATGAATATTAGGGAAGTTGCTTCAACAGTTCAGGTGTTTAACAGTCTTATTGCCTGTGGGATGAAACTGTCCCTGAGTCTGGTGGTTTTAATCCGGATGCTGCGGTAACGATGCGATGCTTATAAGAACCTCATAGTTTCAGTTATTAACTTGAACATCCTTAAAAGTGTTACCTTGTGTTTTTGGTTATTCAGGATACCCCTTCCAGAACTAAAGGACTCAGACAAGCTGGACAAGATCATGTACATGAAGGAGGCCACCAAGAGGATCCGCCTGGGACCAGAAATCCTGCCTTCCATCTGCTTCTACACTTTCCTCAACGCTTACCAGGTAATCACGCATCACCTAGCACTGTGTGGTGGTGAGGACGGACAGTAATGGTAATATAATTAAGGGGCAATTTAGCTTTCATCAATCCAAAGTTTCGTACTCTCCGAAAATATAAAAAAGAATATTCAAAGAGTATTCCATGGTGTTTTCCGATGGATTAACAGAAAAATAATGGGGTTTTTTTGGCCACAGCTGATGATACATTTATAAGACTTTATTGTGGGACTGATATAACTGCACAATTTCCCCTTTTCACTAAAGCATCCTTAGCAACAGTCTGCTAACAAGAAATATCAGACTGCTGAATGTCCAGATTGCCCAATGGGAATCAAGAACTCAATCATGACGTGTAATAAGTAAGGGATAATGTGCGGCGAAGCGGTCATTATGGGGAAAAGAACAACCGACAGACACTAAACAAACTAGCGTCTCTACTCCCAATATTAATTGAAATTATTTGATTGACTTAAAAATGACTGGTTTCTTCCGCGAAGCAAAACAAAATTCTGTTCCACGCATACCAACGGCTGGAACTATGACAACAACAACATTACGGAAGCACTGTCCAAGTCTGTTTATAGATTCTGATCCACTAACAAGTCCTTAAACACTGCAGAGCCCATACCGTGTTCCTGTTAGTGTTTACTTCCTGTCTCTTTCTTGATCCTCCTTAGCAACGGTCATTATAGTCCTAAATCCTTGACAGCGATCTGTAATGTCTGTATTAACAACGTCTCACATGTTCTGAATTGACCAATCAGAATCGTGTATTCAACTAAGCTGAGTAATAAAGGACAATAATCTCTAATAATTATTTTCATCTTTTTCCCCCTGCAGGGTCTGACAGCTGTTGACTTCACAGACGACTCCAGCCTGATCGCGGGGGGCTTCGCTGACTCCACAGTACGGGTGTGGAGCGTCACGCCCAAGAAGCTCCGCAAGGTCAAGTCTGCAGCAGGTACAGCGAACTACGGTTACCACTGTGAACCCGGCTTGGTGTTATTCGGACCTTCTATAACACTCTTCTCTCCCAAGATTTGAATCTGATCGACAAAGAGTCGGACGACGTGTTGGAGAGGATCATGGATGAGAAGACGGCCAGTGAGTTGAAGATCCTGTATGGACACAGCGGCCCAGTGTACGGCATCAGCTTCAGCCCGGACAGGTACAATGCACGTTAATGTTCATTTTTACAGATACTCTATAATGTGCACTCATGACAACATGTATAGGGACTTTGAAAAATGACCTTTTAGAATGCTACAGAAAACAAGCTTTTTGGCACAGACGGTTATCTTGCCTCGAGGTCAAACAGTTTTGACCATTTGAAAGGTGGCTAAAGTGGCTAAAGGAGAGTTAAGAGGTTGCTGTGACCATTAAACGTCATCTCACCAAACATAGAAAACTCAACCACTAGTCAGCTTTCACAGCCTTGTTGTTATACTTCTCTAGCTATATCTATCTCAGAGTAGAAGAAGTAAGCTGAAATCACAATTTGGAGTGGGGCTGGAATTCATGATGTCCCATGGTGTAGTTCTTCTAGAGACTAACGTTAGATTTTGACTTCAGGTTTTTGCATCAAGGCTTAAAGAAATATAATAAATTGTGTTTAATTTGTACGATTATCTTGCTGAAAAAAAGTGTAAGTATCAGATTTATGCAATACTTTTTGTTGACATTCTCGTTTTACATTCCAGAAACTACTTGTTGTCGAGTTCTGAAGATGGTACGGTCCGGCTGTGGAGTCTCCAAACATTCACGTGTCTGGTGGGCTACAAAGGCCACAACTACCCAGTGTGGGATACCCAATTTTCCCCGCATGGGTACTATTTTATCTCCGGGGGACATGACAGAGTTGCCCGGTAAGAAACCGTCGTTCTGTAACACAGAGTGAAACACATATTGATACACCAGCCCCTTCTCTTATCTGCCATTTTCCTTTCTCCAACAGTCTGTGGGCGACAGATCACTACCAGCCTCTACGGATCTTTTCTGGTCACCTAGCTGACGTCACTTGCACCCGCTTCCACCCCAACTCCAATTATGTGGCCACAGGGTCATCGGATCGCACCATCCGAGTGTGGGACGTCCTGACCGGAAACTGCGTCCGCATCTTCACCGGTCACAAGGTCAGAGAGGTCGACAGAGCTGCAGATCTGTGCTCTCCCCGTTAGGAGGAACATCAATGTTTACATGTCTTAAGTAATGTAGTAAAGCCTTTATATAACTTAAACTTTAAACAAAATTATGTATTTGTCGAGGAAAATGTCTTAAGAGTTACTTCAAGTTTGGTATCTGCATAGTAGGTTAAGTTTACACAATGTCACACACATCAGCAATTATTGTGATGTGATTGAAGTCATTGCCTTGTGATTTCATTCCAATAAAAATGTACTTAATTTGACAAACAGGGAGTCATTGTGATGCAATAGCAAAATAGCGCCATCTCCTGGAATGACAAGTTCTTGTTTTTATTTTGTTAAATATAACAACAGTTTATGGAATTAATGCAATCTTGTTTTCCCCCCCTTGTAGTAATATATGAATGCTTTAAAAGTCATTTGAATTCGTTTTTATTTTAGTTATTCAACCAGGCAATACAGCATTTCCTAAGGGATATCGTTTTCATTCAACAAACGTATTTTTCACTGCATATTTTGGTTTTAGTTTATAATAACCCTGGTCAATGTGTGTTTTTGCTTAGTTAAATGTTTTTAAGTACACTGCAGCAGTTATCAGAATTGTGACACTGCTGTACTGAGCCTTTTACCTCTCATCTTCCAGGGTCCTATCCATTCACTGGCTTTCTCTCCCAACGGGAAGTTCCTGGCTTCAGGGGCCACTGACAGCAGAGTGCTCCTGTGGGACATCGGGCATGGGCTTATGATTGGCGAACTGAAAGGCCACACAGATACAGTGTACTCCCTGCGCTTCAGCAGAGACGGAGAGATCCTTGCCTCCGGTGAGTTTAATTGATATAAGCTGTAGGTAGCTTGTAGGACTTAAAATCTCCTGTAGAAAATGGTAAAGCTACAAAACCCAACATACATGCTTAACATGCATTGACAATGTTTCATCTCGTTCTTCTAGGCTCAATGGACAACACAGTTCGTCTTTGGAACGCTACAAAAGCATTTGATGATTTAGAAACAGACGATTTCACGGCGGCTACAGGGCACGTCCATCTACACGATAACTCCCAGGAGCTTCTGCTGGGCGCCTACACGTCTAAATCCACCCCCGTCATACACCTTCACTTCACCCGCAGGAACCTGCTGCTGGCCGCCGGGGGCTACAATCCATGAGACATTATTGAATTATGAGGAAGATTATCTATAATGCTTGAAATTAAGCAAACATTTGGTCCCCAAGGAACTGAAGAGATTCGTGGTTCAGTTGGAATGAAACTGTTATCAACAATACACCTCTGCTGAGAATCCAGCTGTGAAGGAAGATAAAATATTTGGCTATCCTTCTCCTGTTCTGTCTAACAGATCTTTCGCAGACATCCGCACGCCATGCCTAGTGCCATTGATGATTAGGGATCTTTTTTTTAAATCACTGCCATGAGTACAGCTTTGTTCATGTGGCTGACATTTCTGTTTCATAGTATTTTATACTGGTGTACACTGTAAATAAAAAAAAAACGTTTTCTACATTTGGGGCATAAATTGTCTTTATTGTTTACATAGGGAAACAAAAACGTATTTTTATTACAAGCATGTCCAGCTGCTTCCTCCACTCCAAGCTGTTGGTCAAAATGGAAACCTGTAAGGAGAAAATAAAGACCTTCAGTTACTGGAATAAAGCAATACTAATACTAAAGTAAACAGGGTTAGGAAACTAATGAACTTACATGATCATTCTTTGATGGCGGCCTGTTTCTTGGGCTTCAATTTGAAAAAGAGGCCAATGGCTACTATGCTAGCATATGTGGCCAAAACACACTAAAGGGAAGACAAAAAAGGTGCATGAGAGAAAAATCATAGAAACATGACAGTTTGCGGCTGCTTGAATTAGAACAGTATGAAAATGTGGTATATTTATAGTTAAGTTGCACACAACTCACATTCCTCCTCCCTGTGATTGTGAATGCGTTGAAGTACTTGGCAAAGCCAGTGAACTGGTGCTGGGTTCCTGCATCGTGGCCTCCCATGATGGATTATTTATGTTCCTAAAAGAGAAGAAAGGTGATGAGTTATGAATATTAGAATATACGAGCAAGACAATTCTTGACCTTTACAAAAAAGACATTTGAAGACTTCACCTTGGGCCCTGGGACATTTTTCAAAATGATAATATTGAAAATCCGATCGATCATTAGAAGAATACCAAGTTTAACTACTTATGAGGATCTTAATTGTGATTTTAAGTCACACAATACATCATTTAGTTGTTGCAGTGTTGATAGCTCTGCAGGACAGAGTGTGGGGAAATTCCGTATTATCGCAAGTGAAATATTTTACACAAAATATGCACAAAACAACCTTATTGCAAGTGTAAACGGCGTGCTGAATTGACTAGCCTTATTACACGACATTGTATGGTGATTAGATTGACATGCTAGGATCAAATGTAGCTAACATGTCAAGACGCTAAGGACAAGCTTTCGTTCAATACATCTTTATATAGTCTATGCAATACCTGTAAAACATTTGTACTGTAAGGCTAGCCAACTTCAATGCAATAACATTGTGGTTGACACATGCTACAATAGTGGGCTTTCATTCATACTGACTTTCATTAACAGTTAGCTTGTAAGGTTTCAAGTTAGCTTCCTATGTTAGCTTGCTAGCTAGCTACTAGTTTAATATTCAGACCGCTGCTTATCGTTTAATGGTACATTGGCACGCATTTGGATACAACATGAATACAACATGGCATTGTAAAAAAACAATGTAAATAGTGTTAATTGTTTATAAATGCGTTACGACTTACCTTTAACACTCGACCCTTGAGCAAACAGAACTAGACAAGTGTCCTTCAGTAAAGCAGAGGCCGCGATGCTAAATTCGCAAGGAAATCCCGCCTACTCCAAGCAACCCAACGTGTGTCAGTATTGGTCTAAAGTAATGTCACTCAAAGTAAGTGTGTGGCTAAACCACCTATTGGCTTAAAGTGGTGCCAATCATTCTTTCTTGTATTTGAGTGGTGGAACATTAACACGGATGTACTTCCGGGTTAGAATCATGGCGTGTTGCTGAACAACATGTGAGTTTTTCGGGAGATTTAATGTAAGGAAACATTTCATGATAAATTCTGAGAGAATCATTTGATACACGTTTTAATCCATTCGAGGTTTATTTATTCTGTATAGGCTTTTTTTTTAAATGCTGCCACACTCTCTTTGTGGTCAGTCTGAGTGCTTTAATACGTTAGCTCATGTGTTCTTCTCGTGCATTTGTAATGGTAACTTTAAATACAGCAGAATTGGAACTGATCTTTGTAGGGTTGGTTATATTTTTCGCACTTAATGATTTACGTATTTAGATGTATATTTGATAAGGCAAACTGCTGTTTGTGCTACCATTCTTCTGTATTTGTAACTCCAATGTAAAAGTAACTACCGGTAGTTTTAAAATGTAAGATTTCTGGTTAAGTTACATGAAGCAGAGGTGGGAAGTAACTCATTGCATTTACTCAATTACTGAACTCAAGTACAATTTTGAATCTTGTACTTTACCTGAGTATTTCCATTTTATGCTACTTTGTACTTCTACTCCACTACAATTATGTCATGCCTTTAGTTACTTTACAGATCTGGATTAATGGTGTGAAATATAATCAAGTCTTAAATCAGACTTTAGTTCCACCTGGGGCAAATTCACAAGCTACCCGTGCAATATACAAAGTCATTAAAACTAGCTGCACCTTTACCAGCTGTGATAACACTTTAATGATCAATCATTATAAAACATATCATATATATTATTCTGAAATTGACCAATCTGTGTACTAAGTACTTTTACTTTTGGTACTAAAGTTTTTTTTAAAGTACTCCTACACTCTGGTATTTCTACTTTTACTCAAGTGCAAGATCTGATTACTTCTCCCATCTCTGCGTGAGAGGCACAATCTAGTTCTAATAACATCTATTTGTCACTTGGCTTAACATAACTTGTTTGTTTCATTTACTTGGGATTTTGTTTATCAACAGTGCGTTTAATATTCTAAGACATCTGAAACAACATCAAACATGGCATCTGTGGAGGAGGACTTCCCTCGAGGAGGGTCGGCAAAGAAGCCCATCGAGAGTAACATAGCTGTGCAGAGGACAGAGGTCGACAACTTGTTCCAGGTAAAGTCCTACTCTTTTCTGTCTTTTTGTCCATATAACTGTGAACATACTTTACTTTGACTACCCAAATCACTCAGGATTGTGCGTATGTAGCTATCACCAAAAAGAGGATTCATTCAAGCTAAGCATCAGCTGTTCTGCTATCATACCCCTCTCATTCACTCTGGTTCACGCACACCTTCATATAGTGTTTGAAGATGAGAAATAAGGCAAGTTACAGTTAACATTGAGATCTATTTTCAAATATTTATATGAAATACAGTATTGTTCTTCATTTAAATACTGTATATGGAAAAGGCTAGGGATGCAATTGTCAAATACTATCTTAGTCGCCTTTTGTGAGTTAACATATTTATGTTACCAATTATCTTTAATGTGCTCATGATATATTTTAGTATCAATCACAAGCCCCTGAATTGAATCAAATCAAAATGGTATCCTTGCTGACTTAATGATATTAACAAAACTCATTTGTGAATGATTGTTTGCTTTTCTGTCGCAGTCAAATGAACCAGCAGAAACAAAGAAAAGAAAGGTGGCGGGCAAAGATGACGGCAAGAAGCCCAAGAAGTCAAAGACGGGCAAGGAAGACGGCCTGACACTGAACGCAGCATCCAAGTGTGTGGAAATCCTGCACATGAAGGTAAAAGCGTCCTTAGGTTTCTTGGAGGCGCTATATATAAATCCAAGTTGTTATTATTATTATTAAAACATTTGTCAAGAACCAGCATTTGTGAATAAATTGTTAAATGTACTTAGCAGGCTCATTTTCTCCAAATGATATAGTTCATTCAGCACATCTGATTAAATGTTATGTTTGTTTTTCTTGATCTTCTGTGTATTATTCCTCATTTCCTAGAATCTGAAGGAGGGCATCCTGATGCTGGGCTGTGTGAAGGAGGTGACTGACTTTGAGGTGAAAGTCAGTCTGCCCTGTGGCATGCAAGGCTTCCTCAGCATCAAGAACATCTGTGACTCGTACACTAAGCTGCTCAGTGAGCAACTGGAGTCAGCTGATACAGAGGTAAGCCTGCAGGGTGGGGATTAGAAATGTCACTGTGGGATACATCATCAATTCTAAACAATTCCGTCCACATTTCAAAATCAGAATACCTTTATTCGTCCCACAGAGGGGACATTTGCATTTTTTTTACAGCAAGAAAAGAGCTAAAGAAAGCTTAAAGGGGACCTGTCATGCAAAATGCACTTTGTGATGTCTTTCATACATAAATATGTGTCCCCGGTGCGTCGGGGAACTCACGCAGCGTCAGAAAATAAAACCCTCTCTCTTTTCCTCCGTACCCAAATCTTTTAAAAACGGGCGGATACAGATTCCATCCGAACTGACGTCAAATCGGCAGCGGACACACAGAAAGTTGCTATCAGAAACAATTCCTGACGTGTTTTGGACGTAATCTCGTCTTTGCAAGCCTCGCTAACACTCAGAGCTAACCTGTACTGAAGAGCACATGTGTTTGAAAAGCAGGAAATACAAAAAGAACTCACCTTGTGAGAGAAAAAGCATTTGAGCTCCATACTGTTTCAGAAATAATCCTTGACGTGGTTTAAACAGGATGGCGTTTTATCACAGCAGAATTTAACTTTATCTCCGGTAGAATTCTGATCAGGCATTAGCTCCGCCTCCTCTTCTTTCTTTTTTTTCAAGCTAAGGACGCAAAATCTGAGTTTCTCTAACAGGGCTGCAAAAGAGGGGTTTGAGCAGTATGAGTCATGGCTACAATGGGTGATCCGTTTGGTATTTTGAAAAAAAAAACTTCACAGACATGTTTCATATAGGTATGGCCCTACAATATATTTTTCAAATACAGCATGATAGGTCCACTTTAATAATAACCAAGAAGCATGCATGAAAAAATATTAAATGTAAACATTTTTTTATTTTTTAGTACACAATTTACAAAATACACATCCTGTGACAGTTCTGAAGATGGCAGCCAGGTATATATTGCACAGCTATTAACGGCATATATATTTCAATTGTTCTTAGTATTTTTAACTGGGATGATATATGTGAGCTTTATTGAATATGCGGAGTCTAGAATAATATAGCAACTAACTTCAGTCTAAGGGTTCTTTATTTGCAATTTCTATGTCAATAGTTTACTAATTTCTTAGGATACAAGCCTTGGATTTAAGATGTTCATTGCCAACAACCACGCTGTAGCTATTGTGCAAACGACATGATTGGTTTTGAATCTTTGAATCTGTAACAAGAGATGGTATTCTCCCTTCACAGGAGATCTGCTCTCTGCAAGACATCTTCTCCCCGGGGATGCTGTTCAGGTGTGTGATTGCCAAGTTGGATCTAGCCAAAGGAGGCGCTCTCAGCATCCAGCTGTCAATCAATCCAAAGCTGGTCAACAAGGCTCTCACCTCAAACTCTCTGAAAGCTGGCATGGTCAGTAATAATGATCTTTAGTTTAAAATGTGGTTACCAAAAATCAGCCACCTTTTTTGTTTTATTTAACAATATATTTTACATATATTTTGTGACAACTCAGGTCTTGAGTGGATGTGTGGACAGCGTGGAGGATCATGGCTACATAGTTGACATTGGCCTCAGTGGAACCAAAGCCTTCCTGCCCAGGGAAGCAGTAAAGGACAAACACCCAGAAGGTATGACAATCTTAGTGGATTCCACATGTTCTGTTGCAGAGTAGCAGTAGTGCAGTTGTTTCCCAATTGTTTAGCATAAAGTCATGGATTAATGTCTAAAGCGTTTGTTCTTGTCTCTCCAGAGCTGAAAGTGGGTCAGAACGTCACTTGTGGAGTGGACGAAGTAAAAAACGATGGGCGCATGATCCGCCTTTCTTTGAGCACCCCCACCCAGGCCTGTGCTGAATCCGAACAAGGCTGGAACCTCACTAACCTGCTGCCTGGACTTCTGGTCAAAGCCACCATCAAAAAGGTAGAGAAAGCTTTTATTTTGGTAATGAATACATCTTCTCTCCGAGGAAAACAGTTTCTGTGACTGATATGCTCTTACAGTCAATCTCACATCTTCAGCAGTAGCATTGCTTCATTTGTATAAAGTATTTTTGTTTGTATTGCAGGTGACCAAACATGGTCTGCTCCTGGACTTCCTGTCCTCCTTCACTGGCCAGGTGGACTTTCTCCACATGGAGCCAGAACAGACAGACAGCTACACCGAGGGCGCCCAGGTAACACTGACATTGAACATTGATCCTGTTGGCTTCTACATTATAGATATAAATAATAAACATTTGACTTATTAATGGTTTTACATCTGCTTATATTCAAGGATAAACATGGCCGCCTGTTTTGCATTAATCCACCAGGTGCGAGCCTGTGTGCTGTATGTGGATCCCACCACCCGTCTGGTGGGCCTGAGCCTGCGCACCTTCCTCACTCAGCCCGGGTCCTCAATCGCTGTCTCTCCTGCTGGAGGAGACCGCATCGGAGAGGTTGTGAAGGACTGCAAGATGACCGCCATGCACCACATGTCTGGAGCCTTGTTGGAACTGCCTGATAACACGATGGCCTTTGTACATGTGAGTCAGGGGGACGCTTTTTAAATATTTTAAGCAAATTTTAGTCTTAAGTAGAATAAATACTCTCTGTAAAAAAAAATCTGACTCAGCATTGGGTTAATAACTTAAAGGTTCCATAATGTAAATAGTGAGATTTTATGTATTATTATTATAATGGTTAAGTGGAACATAAATACTGTGAAAGTAACACATTTCTTGGTCCACAAGTAAATGAAAACGGCACATATTTAAAAACTGTCTTCAAACATACCGTTAGGAACTAGGTATAGTTGTGATGTCCCAACTATGATGTTATACATGTAGAAAGCGCAGCTACACTGTCTGCTGATGGTGCATCGATACTTGGTTTGAAAGACCCTGTATCGCTGACCAATCAGAGCAGTCTAAGCATCTTCAGGTCTTAAAGAGACAGCCATTAAAACACAGCGTTTGAGACAGATGGTGAATACATGTACATTCCTAAAACTAATGTGTTTTTTGAAGAGTAAAGTATATAAACATGATTATAAGAAACTTAAAATACATGTATGAATCAGAAAATAAGCATTATAAGTGTCCTTTTTTAAATGTATCCTTCACCACAGAGGAACCATGTTAAGGAGTCTAGCGAGCTGTCCAATGAAAACCGAGTGCTGGCCAGGACTGAGCACATCTGCAGGATCATGGACTTCAGCCCCATGGACCAAATTCACTTTGCTAGTCTGCGAAAGTAAGTGTTACCTCATTTGAGTGATATTGTGTAGTTGACAACAACTTCCCAACCCTTATTTGATATGTTGACTAACCTTTTTCTGTCCTGTTTTCAGGAGTGTGATTTCAAAGCGTTTCTTCAGATATCATGATCTTCAGGCCGGACAGGTTGTAGAGGTGAGAACAAATTAAAACACTAGTTTTTTAAAGATTCCTGCAGGACAGGGACGATAAAATCATGCAATATGATGTATAATCTATTATAGCTAGTTTTGGTATGATAGATTATAAATCCTATATTTGTGTGCACTGAGAGGATGCCTAATACCACTAATGAATTTAGTCAAATCTGTGGGTTTTTAGGTATTAGGAAAGGAACACATTTTTTGACATTTGTGCATAAAACTATTTCTCTTTGCACCATAAAGTAATCCAATCCAATCAGAATGTGGAATTAAATGACTTGTAATTTAAGATAGTGAAGTAGTATTAGTAATTGTTTAACATTTTGAGAAATGAGTTTATTTGCCTATAGTGGTGACCAGCAGCTTTCTGTAGTACTGTCATTACTCTGAGGTTGCCTCGACAAGAGAGGAAATAATTATTCCCTGGATATTTTTTCAAAGAACCTGACGGCTCATTTTCTCCAGTTAAAAATAGCAACTTAGCCAGGTGTTGAAAAAAAAAATCCTATAAGTCATTATAATGACAAACCTTCTCGTTATAATAACCCAGTTTCTATAGATAGGTTTCTCATTATTGTGCAATACGAAGTCATTTATTTTATTTTACTGGCAGAAATGCAGGGGTAGACATTAAGGGTAAAATGCCACTGGCCCTCCGGGCCGGTGGAATTGTATTATCACTGGCCCCACCATTGTAACCACTGGCCCGGAGCATTCGTCCAAAAAAAATCAACTTATAATGAAGAAAATAAACACATTTGTTGCAATAGTAATTTATGCACTAACTACATTACTACTTGTACTACAACATTTGAATCATCAGTTCTTCCTCATTTCCTCAATTGTTCATATTTGGTTTATTAAAATAATGATATTGTGGTCATTGTTAAAAATGTCAGCTATTATTATGAGTATTATTATTTGTATAATGCGCTTTCTGCCTTCCTGTCATTAGGAGTTAGAAATGTAATGGCTATGTAGTAGATTAGATTAGAACCTTCATTATCCTAAACTGCTGGGACATTTCCCTAAAGCCAATACCTTTTATATTTTCTACTAGGGATGTCCCGATCACCTTTTTTTGCTCCCGACCCGATTCCGATCATTTGATTTTGACAATTTGCCGATACCGATTTTTCCCAATCCGATCTTTATGCAATGCATTAAGAGGAAAAAAAGCATTCAAATTTTCCCTTAATGTTATTTTTTTATTTAAATTGGATATTCTATCCAACATGGATATAGCTTCTTTTTTTCACAGCAGCATTGGATCAGTTCAGTTGTGCAGAGTTGGATCAAAACAAAATAAAGCTTATCAGTACTTGTTAGCTTACTGCTACAATTAGACACTGCACCCTGCCCACTCTGTTGCCAGATTTGAGAGAAATAAGCAACCAGGTCTATGAAAACAAGCCTCAAAGAAGCAACACATACATGATGTTCTGTAATTTGAAACCAAAACTAAGGCCTCAGGATGACTTTAAGACTTGAACATGGTCATTTTTGTTTTGTAACATTGAATACAACATTTAAAAAAAGTATTTTNATGTTAAAGATCTTTTTTTTATTTGTGAAAATATTTAGCGTATTTGCAGATCCGTTTTACACTTGCACATTTATTTGTGAGTTTGCAAATCTTTTAAATGCATTTGTGGACAGTGTTTTACATTTACAAATCACATATTTACACACAAATTATTTTTATTTTCACACAAATAATTATGAGACATATTTATGCCCATACTTCCGGGTCAGCGATACAGCGAGAACAAGCGAAACTCATCCTGAGCACACACAAACACTCACAGCCGAAGTAAAAACAATAAGTGTGGCTTGAAATGGAGTAAGAAAAAAGTTTACGCTGTGAGAATGGGTCTGCGGAGAAAATTTATCCGCAATCCCAACTTGGCAGCCCGAAAAACGTTTATCCATTTAAACAGTCGTGGTAGATACATTAGCCGCGGTCACACCGCAGTACTTTTTACTTTTTAAAATTAGTTCATGAGAACCTTTTTTACCCCCTTTTCCGTCCCTGCTAGAGAGCAGGTACTTTCGTGGGAGAAAAAGGTTCCTATGTCTGATTGGCTGGGCGGAATGCAAACCATGCCCAGTAAAACTAAAAAAAAGTGTTGTGAAGCCGCCATTTGATTATCCTCGCATTAGCATTAGCCCAGCGCACAAACGCAGAGAGACTAACTCATCACAAAAAAAGTTAATGAGAACTCTTTAGTTCTCATGAACTAAGTTCTCATGAACCTTTGTGGGAAAAGTACTGCGGTGTGAATGCGCCTCTTGTTTGTTTTAAATATCATAAATACACAAACAACAATGAATACTTACAGGTTGTGTACCCGAATCTCCCGCTGGTCCAAACAAAGTAGGAACAGCATTGTTCTTCAGTGCCCTACGCTGTACATATCCGGCATGAATCGCTGAAAGGTTTTTGAAGCTTTGTTTCGTGAAATGCTGGCAGAGGGTGTGGCCTCTGGGTATTCACAGTCACAATACCCAGGAAGTAAACAATGGAAAATGAGAAATCTCCAACGAGTCGTTCGGGGCAACATAGACTGTGTTAGAGTTTTACTCGCTACAGGGTGTACTTTGAGGGTTTTTGACTCTACAGACCGTTTACATGCATAAAAACCTTCAAAACACACAAGGGGACGGGTAATAACCGGAAAAGCATGACATGGGCCCTTTAATACTTTCTACTCGAACAACACCATAACAGCTAGGCATTACATCGACAACAAGCTGCCAGAGCCGCTAAAGCGTCTGAAGCAGCTTGTGCGTTGTAAGGCTCAAGGGAAATGTAGTTAGTTGTAGTTTGAGAGAAAAGGGCGAACGAAAATGTTATATTCAACATAAGTCCTGCATCAAAAATAATACTCATGTAAGTGAGTAAGTGCACAGGTATAGTAAACAAAATGAAGTCCTAATTAAATATATAAAAGTAAAGTTTCGGATGTGAAGAAAGGAGTAAGGAATAATTAAAAGCCTATGTTTTATTACATTATTTTCATTTCAAATAACACCATAGGCGTCATTTGCACTGGGGACGCTTTTTGAATTAGGCTTTGCCAGGACACAAAATCTCTCAAAACATGAAAACTCACAATAATAAATAATGAAGCAAGTGAAAACATAAAAAGTGTTGTGCCTTTGTGTTCGTTTCTTTTTTAAAGCAGCAAAAAGAACATATTTTCCCCCCATTTACAAAAACATTTGAATTGTTATTTACAAATGTTAACTCCATTTTTTTCTCAAGTTGCATATACAAATGTGTTTTTTTAAATAATGCATTTAATTATTATTTTTATCTCTTTGTCTTTATTAAAACTTTTTTTCAAGTTAGTTTTTATGATTGTTTTACGTAATTCTTTTTATTTCATTATCATTTTAATATTGGTTTTATTTTTCTGTAAAAGCCAGTCACACCAAAACTTGATCAGATACAGGAGTATTATGTGTTTTAGATCGAAGGTGATTAAACTGCTTTAGTGTATAACCGATGTCTTTTGACTCATACCAATTAAACAAAACCAGCACAATGAAGAGAACCACAGATTTAAGGATTCAACAAAACGTTTATTGCAAAAATGTGTTTATAATATTTACATTAATAGCAACATTTATTGAGAATGATTATAATTCACTTGATTTTCTAACATTTACAGTTTAACTGTTCATTTAAACCACTCTTTTCACAGAGTTTGAAAATCTACATCTTCAGAAAGATGTATACAGAACACCAGTACTTATGAACCCACAGAACATATCTTAAGGGATTTCAGGAAACTCAGCAAACAATGCTAAACACGCACACATGGGAATGACCAAAACTCATTTTGGTCTCTGCACATGATATTGGAGCCCAAACTGTGGTGGCAACTTAGCCATAAATGTTCACCTGCAACATGAGACGCAGGCAATGTGTAATAACTGGAAAGGCAATACACGGTCAGAGCGCTTTAGGTTCAAATTCATCTTCCTTTTTTCCCCTTACCACCCTTCATCCCTCCTCCCTTCGGGCCACCCTTTCCTTTGCCGCCTTTTCCTTTGCCCCCCCTGGCTCGTTGTTCCTTCCTCTGCATCCCCCGCATGTCTTTCTTCATGCGACCGTCCACCACTTTGAAAGCTCCCTTGACGCCGGCGGGCCGCCTCACCTTCTTGCCAGCTCCCTTTTTGCTGACAATGTATGTTAACTCTCTCTTCTCCTTCCCCATGCCTGCTTTCTTGTAGATACTAACAGAAGCAGAAAGAAAAGACAACGTTTTTCAATTGATGTTATATTACAATTATCCAGTATGAAGCGATGTATATAGTTTCAAGGAGTCTCCTTCCGAGGAGCGGGCTGCCATACCTCTTCAGCTGAGCATTCTTCTCCCTCTCAGAGATGTCGATTGTGTTGCAGACTGCCTCTGCCTTCTTCTTAGTCTGATCCATCTTCTTCAGCATCTGGAAACATCAGAGAAACACAGAATCGTTTTAAATTTTAAGTAAATAAAAATAAATGTTTTGGGTAGTTTTGTTTGTCTTAAAACAGATCAAGCAGCTGAAATGGTTTCGAGCATGATCCTGTTTTATGTCTGATCATCTTCTTACCCTCCTCTTCTTCCTGGCCTTCGCCTCAGCAACTCGTTTGATGGGTCGGGCATCGATCTCCTTCCACTTCTGTTTGAACTCCTCCACCATCTCTCTGGTGACAGGAGTCGGCTTCTTCCTGTGTTTCTTTTCGTCAACCATGAACCACTCCGGTACATCCCACTGCTGCTCGGAGCTAGCAAACCTGCAAGAACAAACAATCAGTTTGCTGTTTGGACATATTAAACATATATTCTGGGTTCAGAAACAGATACTGATGTGTGTAGTTAAATCATGTGGCATCTGGTAACAGATTTGACAGGAAATTTGAATCCAATTATTTTCAAATAATACATCAGGCATATATGTGACCTGCTCCATCGAAATCAGTCGCATTGACCCGAAGACACATTTTGAGTTGTATACACTGCTGGAAAGAGGAGATTCCTAGCTTTCTAATGATATCAGGATTGTTTTTCTACTCCAAATATTAAGCGAAATATGTCACATTATATAATGACTGTCACTGAGTCATCATTTTGAGAAAAAGGCCTTCAAAGTTTTCTCTTCTCTGGAATCCATCGATCTGATTGATTATTAGGGGAGCAAATGATCAAAATACTACGGAGGGAAGATATTTTCGTTTGGATTACTGGTCTGGGGGAAGCTCGCGAGTGTGTGTGTGTGTGTATACGTGTGTGTGTGTATACGTGTGTGTGTGTGTTTGTGTGTATTGCGTTTGTTTCCCGGGGAAAACCCTCACGAGAAACACCGGCTGTTGTTATGCCTGCTGTGACGTTAAGTTACTCCGTTCTCCGCTTGTAATTATGCCGTTACAAGCTTCAAAGTTGTATTTATCATCTGAATTTGCCGAAACAAGTTTAATATTCTGAAAGCCAAGACTTTGTTTAATTGAAATCAGATGAAAACAAACTGTAACGGACCCTGCCGTGTTATTTATGATTACTCTACGCTTACATTCATAATGTCAGCCGGAGGGAGGGGGGGCGGCGCTGCGGAAGAGCAGATTGCCTGTCATCTTCCCTTTACAAGCTTAAAGAATGTATTTATTGTGTGAGTTTGGAAATAAAAGTTTCATATTCTGAAAGCCAAGACTTTGTTTGTTTAAAATCAAACAAAACACCCGAACCCCGAAAAAATAGTTTTTTACGCAAATCCACATTTATTTTGAAATGAGCCGTTGCGACTTCCGTCTGATTTCGATAGAGCGGGTCACATATAGCATTGATACTTTTAGAAGATTGTTGATTTATTTATTTTGGCCAAAATCTGTCAATGCAACAAGATCATGTTTCAGGTGCTAATCTGAGCCCAGGACAGAAAGCCACTGCGGTGGTCCTCCATGTTGACATCCAGTCCGGACAGGTCCATGTGTCTGTCCTCCCCAAGCTGGTGGCAAAGAAGAAATCTGTGAGTATTACTTTTGTTGTTTTAGAACTATAGCATATTAGTTAGTTATTATTATTTGATTAAAAAAAACGGATAATTTAAGATAAAAAAACTTGATTACTGGGATCATGTAAGTCATACATTTGCCTAAAACAGATGAATTTGTGACTTGTATCTAAAGAAAATTATAATAATTTATCATTTTTATCATCTCAGAGAATGTTCAAATGTTTCACTTATAAATTATAATCTTTTCCTGTAAATGTACCACTTAAATCATTTTTTTTTCTCAGTTTTTACCTTCCTTCCCCAGCTTAGTAATTATTATTTATTCGTATTAAAATGAAACTAACACATGACTTCACTTTGGATATTTTGATTAAATCCAAATTTCCCAACACTGCTTTCTTTGGAGCAGCCTGATCAATCTTTGTCTATGGTCTTTGTAGATGTCAGAACGTAACCATTTCCTGTAGTTTTTGACTTTGTGTATTTGTATGCGTGTTTCCATAGTTAACTGAAGGAACAAAGTACACGGTGATGGTGCAGCACGTGGACAAAGACTTCGCCGTCATCTCCCTGGAGGACACGGCCCAGCTGACGGTGATCCAGACCAGCAGGCACCTGAATGAGGTCTTCCTGACTGACTCGGAGAGGCTGAAGGCGGGCATGTGTCTGGCAGCTGAGGTGATAGAAGCCAGCTGTGAGGCGCTGCAGGGTCTCCCCCTGGTGTCCTGGGCGCGCAGCGCACCCAACCGGCAGCGCACCGTCTCAGAAAACCTGACGAGCACCAAGGGCCATCGCTTCGGGGACATCGTGCGGGGCAAAGTGAAGAAGGTGAAGCCCACCTCCATCATGGTCACATTGGAGGACGGGAGCACGGGCAGCGTGCACGTGTCCGAGGTGGGGGAGGTCGCAGATGTGCGTGAGGGGTCCTTCCCCACATCCTCCGTTAAAGTTGGCAGCGAGGTCACCGGCAGGGTCATCGGAGGACGGGAAGCCTCCAGTCAGAGGTACACACTGCCGAAGGGTTCACTTTACATACATTTATTATGACACCGGGCTGTGGAGTACATAGATATTATATCAATGTTGTGATATGATCCTTTATATCGTCTTTCTCTTCTGATATTCTAATATAAAATAAGTGTATTTTCCTAGTTTTAAAGGCTGCATGACAGTTAAGCAATGATTTTCCTAAATGTTCTAGTTGTTAGTATTTGCCTTTTACTAGGGCTTCACAATTAAACATTTAAAAACACTTGAATTGACATTATTTTGACTGATATTGCAATAGTAATATTCACAGAATCAAAGGGAAGGATAACTTTTTGAATTGCTATTTACATTATCCCATTGAAAAATAAAAGTTATGTGTTTATTCTATTCTTTTTATGTGACGGTCTGTAGCAAACAAAATGATTTTATTTAGTCAGTAGAATCCATTTATAGTTGTAGCGCCATGACCATGATGTGTTATTTAAACTGTATTGAACTCACCTTTTCTGTTTCTTCAGATTCTTGCCCTTCTCCCATCCCAAGTTTACATTCACCATCCCTGAGCTCACTCTCATACCCAGGTAATCATACTGCACTATTACCTGAATATCATTTATTCCCAAAGTAGTAAATGAACAGTATTCTCAATTTAAAACCAGTCGTTGTGATGTGTATATCTGTTTTCTTCTGTTTTAATCAAATATTATACAGATCATAAAATGCTCATTACAGAAATAGAACCCTGTGGTGTTTGGATGTGTCAGCGTTTGTATTCTTTATCTTTTACTCTCTTTTTTTTTTTATTCGTCAGTTTCTTATTTGTGCTTTTTCTTTTTTACAGCAAACTGGATGAGACCGCAGATTTCAAAGCAGTTCCAACAAAAGAAAAACTAAACGGCTATAAGGTCGGGGAACAAATTCAATGCTTTGTGTCAAAGGTAAGTCTGGAAAATCATAACGTCTTGCTTTTCTTTCTTTATTGCAGTTCTTCATTCATCATAAATGATTTGAAAAGAGAAACAACTGCTCTCCTGATCTGCAGTGTATTAATGTTTTTGTCCCCAGTTTGTTCCAGAGAGGAAGACTCTGGAGGTCACCACTGATCCTTCTGTTACCGGGACAGTTGAACTGCTGGCCATGATCACCAATCCAACAGTATGTTTTTCCTATCAATTGGTCCATGTCCGATTTATTTGTACTATTATTATAACAGCTTAGGAGAAAATGGGAATAAATAAAACATCATTATTTTCAGGACGCCAGCCACCCTGAAAAACTCTACAAGCTGGGTCAAGCTGTGAACGCCAAAGTGGTGGAAGTGAGCTCCAAACCTCAACGCTTAATGCTGTCACTCACGGGTAGGAGAAGCTCATTATCATTATGTTCCTATTGCATTAAATCACCTGCTATTTACTTACCTGACTTGCATACACTTTAATATGCCTGCGGGAGCCATTTGGAGTTGAGGTATTTTGACCAAGGACGCTTCAACAAGCTGAATGCAGGGGCTGGGGCTCAAAGTGCTGACCCTATGATCTGTAGATTAGTCATCTGAATCTCTCAGATGTTTATTCAAATCAAGAGACGACAATTAATTAGATTCTGTCGCTCTGGAGATGCAGCGGTCGTCCATGTCAAGTTATCCTTGGGCAACATGCTTAACCCCAAATGACTCCGGATGCAACAGTGTATGAAAGTTAGTTCACCTTGTACAGCAGCCTCTGCCTCAGTTTGACTGTGTATGAATGTTGAATTGTATGTGAACACAGACTGGAAAAGCGCTTCTAATTGCTTTCCGTTTACCATTCCAGGTGTCCACAAGCTGGAGAAACACAGTGTTGCTATGGGGATGGTGACCAACATCCTTCCGACCGTCGGCCTCCTGGTCAAACTGCCGTTCGGCGGCAAGGGGGCCGTGGCTGTCACCGACCTGGCCGACGCCTACAGGCCGAACCCTCTGGACGGGTTCAGCAAGGACCAGCTGCTCAGGTCAGTGGAGGCAGCCGAGGAAGAGCCTGTTGAATATTTGTTCCAAAAAATGTTTAACATGCATAGAAAATATATATGAAACACTAGTGATAAATACATTAATTATAGAACAACAATGTTAACGAACATTTTTTTTTTCATCAAATAATATTGCGTCCCCACTCCAGAAGTCCTGAAAAAAAATCACACTTATCATTTTAATATATGTTTTAATGATATTGTCAGTAATTCTCATTCATTCTCATCGTGTCCAAATTGACAATATCAGTCTATAAAATAGCAATTTTATATTTTTTCTAAATCTTATAAGCCTTTTACATAGACATGGTAAAATTGTATATATAGTATTGTATTAGTGGACCTGTACTGTGGCGCAAAACCAAATCAATCTATGAAATGTAGATTTCTATCAACAGGTTTTTATGTGAATCACTCCCTATGCACTTTTAAGTCTTGTTCTGTTGTTTTGCAGCTTTGTTAATTGCTGGGTTTGGTTTTTCTCCCGATTTATCTTTTTATTGTTGGTGCCTTTTGTGGTATATTGCATGTAAACATTGTTTTAAAAAGTGATTATTAATGTTTGTTTGTATTTTCTTCATGTGTCTGTGTAACCCTAAAGGAAACAACGTTAAGTTTAATTTAGCCTAATCAAAATGAACTATTAGAATCTTTACTGCCTTATAGTCAGGGGTGCACATACCTTTTTTGCCCTGGTTCTCAAAGGAGCACCTGGAGATGTTGCTTGGTGCTCATCCTTAAAATGACCAGGGCAAAAAAGGTATGTGCACCCCTGACTATAAGGCAGTAAAGATTCNTTGTCTTGTGTTCACCTCTGCATGTGTGTTCAGTGCCGTGTGTCTGGCAAATAAAGTCAAGACCCCCTCAAAAGTTACAGTTTATTTCATTTTAAGGATGAGCACCAAGCAACATCTCCAGGTGCTCCTTTGAGAACCAGGGCAAAAAAGTTACGTACTGTATGTGCACCCCTGAATATTAGGCCCGCCACCTGTGAGGAATCTTCCTCCGTATTCATGCGGATAGGAATGGGTTTTTTAATGTTATTCCCGCCGTCTGTGTCGGAAAAAAGGTACGAAATTGATGTGAATTGATTGGGTGAAAATGAAAGTTTGAATGTGCTTTTTATTATCACCGGTCATTTATGAGGAAATGCCTCTAAATTCTATCGGGAGATTTAAAAATCACAACTGAATTGGGCAGTTGAAATTACAATTTTGGTGATAAATGTAAAACTGTGAATTAAGGTTTTAGATTAGAGAATAACCCCAGCATGATATGTTCAGTATAATTATAATGTTGTAAAGAGAGAAGGTAAAAACCCTGTATTAGTTTGGACCTATTTTTCTTCAAATAA